AACTCTTGGGCTACTCTTTTACCAACGAATAGTGGGATTGACTGTCACATTATAACGCCCCCACGGCTGAAAGGGCGAGCATGTTTGGTGTGACGGGGATTCGAACCCGCGACCCGCAGATTGCGAGTCGAGTACCCTAACCACCTGGCCATGCCGGGCCCTCCCTCTAAGCCAACGATATAGATGCCAGGCGTAGCGCAGGAATATTTACTAGCTAGATTAAATCTTCAATTCTCGATATTTACGAAGCAAGAAACTGAGGTAGTGAAACTCACTTTATATGTCACGACCCACAAAATCTACTGCTGTGATATCTTTCGTCCTTTACATCGATTTTATTGTCAAGCATAAGTCGCATATTCAAAAATCACATAAGCCAAGAGATCGCTATTATTGAAAAGGTTAAAGAAAAATATGCAGTTCACTGCTTCAGAAAAATTCGTAACTTGACTTTTGTTTTAAATATCATGTTAACTTTATTATGGACATGAGGAGTAATGGCTAGATACATCATAAAGGTCAAAGTCGAATCAAGGTCAAAGATCAGAGGTCAAACATGTTTAGGCTAGCTCCATACTATTAACATATGTATGATATCATGATACCTACCTCTTCTGTGTATTTACTACTGGCTACGTACTAAAGGCTTGAATTTGGAATCGGCCAATTAGCAGTAAGAGACGATCTTTCATTGAACACACGTGTTCGGATAAACTACTTTGTTTTCAGTTAATTTTGTAACGAAATGATCGTACCAACTATTTACAGATCACCTTTATGATACATACATGAACAAATCCAAACTTATTTCATGTATGCCCAGTCGTTTGTGTGATTACACAGGCCTGGGAATTTAAACTTCATAAAAGTTGTTTTGCTTTTAATAACAAATTTTCCATAATTCAGCTACGCAGATTTCGAAAATATTATTCATTTTTTTTCTATCACGTAAGGATTTTTTACAAATCGAGAAGAAAAACAAACTCTTACATAGGTCAAATCATTATTTCGTTTATTACAATGAATATTTTTTATTTATTATGTTTGTTAACAAAAATACAAACAAACTGAAGAAAAGGGAAGAACAT